TTTTTTCCTTCTCTGCCAACTGTTCTGACAAATACTAATTTCTGGAGTAGGCTAGATTTACAAATTCAGGAGTATGGAAGAGAGGCTAGGGCTTTCTAGGAGACTAGCAGAGAGAATTCTCAGTGCTGGGCTCTGAGAAATTATAACTCTCCCTTTTCTTCTTTTAGGTCGCAAGTCCGGGAAGGGCTTTTATATCTACCAGGAGGGTGTGAAGAATAAGAATTTGAATTCTGACATGGACAGTATTTTGGCAAGTCTGAAGATGCCTTCTCAGCCTGACGTGTAAGTTCAGTTGAGGGGCTATCAGTGTGGAAGTGTGTTTCTCACCAGCCCAAAGCTTCTTGGACCCTCTGCAGTCCTTTTTTTTTTTTATGATCACCATATGTGATCAGAGGAAACATTCCTGATTCTTAACACTTTCTGCCTTTCCACATTCCACCTCATACTCTACCAGACATCAGGGTAAGGACTGCAGCCAAGCCTTGGGAAGACCTCTGGATAAGCCGTCCCTCTGAGGGTGCCAGAAAGCAACTAGAAAGTTCTGGGCTCGCTCAGCCCGCACACCATTCACTGTCATCTGTAGTCAGTACCTGCTGATATCAGGAGATACTGTCTACCCTGCAGGGCCTGTGCTCGGTGCTCGTTTCCAGTTAATCAGGGCAGGCAGCTCTCTACTGTCCCTTTCCAAGGGCGGCTCCTCCTCTAGAGGCAGAAGTTCATTAGGGCTGGCCCCAGGCACCAGTGGAGAAGGAAATGGCAACCCGCTCCAGCATTCTTGCCTGGCGAATCCCATGGACAGAGGAGCCTGGCAGTCCATGGGGTCGCAAGAGTCAGACGTGACTGAGCAGCTGACACCCGAGCTCCAGCAGCACCAGCCCTCACTCCCGTTCTGTGCCGGGGCCCCTGCATCCTGCCTCTTGACGCTTCCTCTCCCTGAATGTCTCTCCCTGTTGGCAGCTCCTCAGACGAAGACATCCAGTACCGCCTAGTGACCAGGTTTGTGAACGAAGCTGTCCTGTGCCTACAGGAAGGGGTCTTGGCCACTCCCACAGAGGGAGACATCGGCGCGGTCTTTGGGCTTGGCTTCCCCCCGTGTCTTGGAGGTCAGTCTCGCAAGTCAAAAAGGTAGTTTACTTCACCCCAGAGCTTGTTTCGCTTTTCCTTCAACAAAATCTTCTTTCTGCATTCAGGGCCCTTCCACTTTGTGGATCTGTACGGGGCACAGAAAATAGTGGACCGGCTCCGGAAGTACGAGGCTGCCTATGGAAAACAGTTCACCCCATGTCAGCTGCTTGTGGACCATGCCAACAACCCTAACAAGAAGTTCTACCAATGAGCAGGCTCTGTCACCTGCCCACTCGCCCACTAACGCCAACCGTGGCAGCACTGGTTCTCAACAGAGTGGCATCTAGATTTATCAGAGTGACCAGAAGGAAGACAAACTCTGGCACTGGGTATGTGCCTTGATTAAAGTGCCTTTGGCTAGGACATCTCTCCCTCCCAGCTAGGTCTGGCTGTGATGTAGTTTGTACTTCCTGTTGGAAGGTGGAACCCTCTGTGTGCACCAATTTATAAGCCCCGAGGCCTAGGGTGGCAGTGTTTCTGGAGCCATCCTTGTTGCCTGCTCCTCCCGGGAGGCCAGTGGTGGTCACTGGTGGCCAGTGGTGGTGAGGGCAAGTTTGCACTCAGCCAGATGCATTTAACAATAAAAATCAAACTCTTCGTCAGTCTGACTGCCCATTGCCTTCTTTTCTGTCATTGCCCTTCTGGTGTAACCCCCTTACCTTCGAAGAGTGAGCTGGAATAAAGCCCTGTGCTCTGGGGTAGGAATGTGTTGGGAGCTTGGAGCAGAACCTTAAGAGAGAAATTGCGGTGATGGAGAATGACCTTTGATCCCTGGGTCAGGAAGATCTCCTGGAGGGAGGGCATAGCAACCCACTCCAGTATTCTTGCCTGGAGAATCCTCAGGAACAGAGGAGCCTGGTGGGCTACAATCCATAGGGTCACAAAGAGTTGGACACAACTGAAGCGACTTGGCCTGCATGCACGCACATGTAAAGGCTTTGGCTGGGCTTCTGCTTACAGCGGGGAAGAGTCCTGGCTAAACCAAGGAGTAGGAGAGTTATGGAGGGCCAGCGTGTAAGAGACTCCTTTTCCCAAACTGCATATCCTCGTTGGACAGTTTTACCCAGTTCTTTTCTTGGTGTAACTCATTCATGTGCATGCTCAGGATGTTTATGGAACGTTGATAGTAGGCAGTTGTTCAATTGCTAAGTCGTGTTCGACTCTTTGTGACCCCATGGATTGCAGCATGCCAGGCCTCCCTGTCCCTGTCTCCCGGGGTTTGCCCAAGTTCATGTCCTTTGAATTGGTGATGCTATCCAACCCTTTCATCCTCTGCATTAGGCAGAAGAGGTAACGCTTTTCTGGTCAGTGCATCCTGCACATCTCAGCTGCCCCAGAGCACAGAGGTGGACAATGCCCAGTGATGAGTTGCGTGACCCACCACCACCTGCAGTCTACTGACACCTCCACTCTTCCCTGCCCTCTGCCTTCTGGTGGAGTAAATTCCTGCACTTGTATTCTGGCAGAAACAGTGCCCAGTCCAGGTAAACAGCTCTGGGGCTCCTCTCTGGGTCTGGCAGAAGGATTCACTGAATGTATAGAATCGTAATTCAGGTCCCATCACGCTGCACCACCCTGACTTGAAGATGTTACCAATCCCTCCTACCTCTGCTCCATCTGTGAGCACTTCAGTATCCCCACCCCGCCCCCATGGTCCCAGTTCTGCTGTGGGGACCAGCAAGCAGGGAGCTCAGCCCCAGCTCTACTCAACACTCAACAGTTGGCTGCTAGGAAGCCAAGGCATCTCTGAGTTGGAGATTTCAGGTGACCCACAGAAGGTAGAGAACTGATCCTCTACACCAAGGCCAATAACAGGCTTCCAGGGGTGGGGGTGGCAGTGTTAGGGCAGGGCTCTGAGCAGCCTCAAGGCAGGCATTTGGACAAGACAGGAAATTAAACCTGTGTAGGAGCATGGGGCTCTGAAGTATGATCTTATCACCCAGTAGACCTAACTGTGCTGTGCTTAGTCACTTAGTTGTGTCCGACTCTGCAACCCCATGGATTGTAGCCTGCCAGGCTCCTCTGTCGACGGGATTTCCCAGGCAAGAATACTGGAGTGGATCCATTTCCTTCTCCAGGGGACCTTTCGAACCCAGGTCTCCTTCCCGCATTGTAGGCGAATTCTTTACCACCTGAGCAACCAGAGAAGCCCAATACCAGAGTATGGGTAGCCTATCCCTTCTCCAGGGGAGCTTCCAGACCCAGGAATTAAACCAGGGTCTCCTGCATTGCAGGCAGATTTTTTACCAGCTGAGCTGCCAGGGAAGCCCAGCAGCCCTAGGGAGGTGTGTTGAATTATGCTGAAACATTAATGGGAACTGAAGGTTAGTTTTGGGACAGGTTGAGGGGTTTTCAGAAAGGAATGAGGGCCGCTGTATCAGCTGCCTCTGAGGAACAAGTGGGCCGTGTGCATAACCATTTCCAAGGTCCTCCCCTGCCCAAGGGCACAGACGTCATGCCAGTCGGTCCTCTGAAAGAACACAGTTCCACTCACACTACTCTTCAGTGGTCTAGCATTTATTTCACTAGCCCTCGAGGACTCACTAAGTGATCGGCAAGGAAACACAACGTCTCAGCATCCCAGTCTCTGTGCTCTACCTTGATTCCCCTCTGTGCTGAGACAGCCTGCTCAGGGCATGAGCACTGGCACGGCTTCTCTACTCTTAAGATAGAAAAACAGAGGAAATAAATATCTAGATAAGGCAGACGAGAAGGCTGATACCCCTGGGCCTGACACTAGAAGAATTAGTGTGCTTCGGGTAAGTGAGACAGAGAAGAGCTCGGGGGATGGGTGGTTGGACATGACAGCCAACCTGCTCTGGGTGCTGGCAGATGGCCATGCTCAGGATTCAGGGCACAAAGATCTGCTCGGGTGCAGGTGAACAAGCGCAGGAGGGCTGAGCTCCAGGAGGATAAAAGTAGGTTTTCCCAAGCCACCTGCGCCAGTGACAGAAAACCAGGGAAGGACACCAGGTGTTTGCAGGAGTCAAGGGATGGGGCAGGAGAACAGTGGGAGTGATTGAAGGCCACCCACCTCGAGAATCAGGGTGCAGCTGCCCTTACAATCACCTGCCCTTCCACAGAAAGTCGTCATGGACTGGACACAACAGGTAGGATGGAGGGCTAGATGCAGCCAGATTGGGGCAGAGGCCAGAGCGCTGGAAACATGGGGGAGCAACTGCCTCGCTCACCAGGTAAGTGGGTCAAGGGCAGGGCTGTGGCCTTCCAAAGGTATCACGCGAGAACCAGAGCCCACAGGTGGAGCTCTGCGGCGCGGTGGCTCAGGCTTGTATGCAATACACCTGTGTTCAGGGCCAAGGACCCAGCACATGGTGGAGCGGGGGCGGGGCTAGAGGGTAAAGAGGGCATCCCAGAGATACAGAAATTGGCCCTCTGTCTGAGGCAGCTTGGAGCAGAGTCCACAGAGGACAGCGGGCACTTGGGGAATCTGTGCTTCAATGGGGGGGCCGTCGTCTTCGTCTCCGGCCTGCACCTACAAGCTGTGGACTGAGAGCAAGCTGTCAGAGGGATCCACAGCAGGGCCGAGGGAGCTGTTAGGTCACCACAAAAGCCAGCTTCCAGCTGCCGCATGGGAATCACAGCCCTGGGCACCCTGTTCGCTGGTGCCTTCAGCCGCTCCCCCACCTACTCTGCACACTCAGAGGCAAGAGGCATGCAGGGGTCTGGCCCAGAGGACCCCGTTTCCCAGCGCGCCTCCCCTGGATTCACTCTCTGTGACTGCTGAGCAGCTGCAGTCCTGGCAGAGATTCTCCCTGCGGCAGGCCCCACCTCGGGGAGGGCTGGCCCCCCGGGGCCTGGGGGGTGGGGGGCAGTTCTGGGCCAAAATTCCAGTTAGGCGGCCCCAAGCAGGAAGGTCAGATCTTGGGCCGCCAGCCTTTGATGAACTGCATGATCTTCTTGACCTGCAGCTTGGTCAGGCGGAAGTCATCTGCCAGGATGTCCTCACTGAGCTGCACGAAGATGCTGCCGTCAATGCGCTCTCGGGCAAAGAAGCTGACCACGTCCTCTGAGAGCCCGATGAAACGCAGACTTCGGGAGACCTCCTCCAGGGAGAGTGCAGACAGGTCAGCGGGGGGCTGCCAGGAGGCGGCTTCTCGGCCTCCCCAGGCCGTGGCCCCATCCCGGGGACTGGCAGGAGGCCCTTCGAGGCGCCCCTGGGTGAGAAGGAGTCGCGCTCCACCGGCCTCGGGGCCCTGCGGGGCCGCCGGTGACAGTGGGGCAGGGCCCTGCCTCGACACCAAGCTTTCGGGCTCAAAGGTCTTGGGGGGTCCAAGTGGCGAGAGGCCGGGCCCAGGTGCCCCCACAGCTCTGGGCTCCTGACAGCGCAGCAGCTCAGGCTCTGGAGAACTGCCCCGGCCCAGCTCAAAGGGGTCGAAGGGCTCCAGGGAGGGTTCCTGCCACTCAGAGGAGGAGGAGGAGGAGGTGGGGCAGGAGGAGGCGGAAGCTGCCGAGTAGGCCTGGCCTGGAGAGCCCAGGCCTGGGGAGTAAGCGGGGCTGGAGGTAGCCAGGGGACCTGAGGCAGCTGCAGGCCCGGAAGAGGAGGCCGCTGAAGGGCCCGTGGGGTAGGCAGGCCCAGAAAAGGGGTTAAGAGCTCCAAACGGAGCAAAGCGTTTCTGGGGGTGGGAGGGCTTGAATGGAGGTGGGCAGCCGTGGTAAGTCTTGGTGGGGGTGTCGGCCCCCAGGAGGCAGGCAGCTCGACCACCCAGGGGCTCCACAAGGGCCCGGGAGGCCTGGCTGGGCTGCGTGGTTGAGGGCAGGGGGCCTGGGGGTGGACGGCTGGAGGACTCGCCCACCTTGCAGTCTCCCCAGGTGCAGGGGTAGCAATAGAGGGAGTAGGCGTCAGGTGATGGAGAGCCACTGCCACTTCGGGATCCCGCCCTGCAGACAAAAAGACAGACACGGGTAAGCAGAGCAAGAGGGAAACGTGATAGGGACACACATGTGCCACCACAAACCACCATTCCGCCAGGTCACAAAGCTCTCAGCCATGCTGGCCCGTCCAGCCCCCAGCCCCCAAGGCCTGACACCCTCTGAGATTGCTCTATTCTTCCTTCCGACAACCCGCACTCCAGGAAAAACTAAACTGAACTACACAGAAAATTTTCAACGGCAAGGAGTACTCCATCCTGCAGCAGATCTCAGTCTGGAAGGAAAGAGAGCCACACTCCCACACAGTCGTTATCATCTAGATAAGCAGCCAACTGAGGCAGGAAGCCCCAGACCCCAAGGGCCCCTCCCTCAGGTTCTTCTCAGCAATATGCACCCTCCAAACCCTGGGGTCTGCAGTCTTCCTCTTCCTCACACTGGCGCCCCTCCCCGCCCTCTCCCTGTCCCCTTCCCCTGCTTCCATCCACCTGAGGCGGCCCAGGACCCAGAGAAGGAAGGGAGGGGCTTACCCATCCTGGAGGCCAGAGGAGTAGTAGGAGAGGCTGGAGCTGGGGGAGTGGACGGGCTGCAGCTTAGGGAAGCGTGGGGGTACTGGGGGGCTACCCGAGAGCCGGCCACTGCCACCCCGCGGGGGCACAGGAGGGGCGTTGAGCAGGCGGCACTCCTCCTTCACCTGGAAGCACAGGGCCATGATGCCACCCCGTCCCCAGGCAGCTGGGCAAGGGGGGTGCCTGCGACTGACCCACTTTGCCAAAAGTCGGCCTTGCTACTCAGCCACCCACCCCACCCCTTCTGGTCATCTCCAGCCTGTCAGACTCATCAAGAGTCCACAACACGCACAACTGTCTCCTGTGGCCTTCGAAATCCACCATGAATGTAAGAAAAAAGAGAGAAGTAGATAAAACAAACAACAACAACAAAAAGTTAAGTAGACATATTCCTTCCTCAAGGAAAAGGAGAGAAAGAAGAAAAAGGTGTAATGAGAAGAACAGAAGGAAAAGTATCTGCCATCTGGATCCCTTTCTTATGGACTCCATGGGACATTAATAGGTGCTGTCCATAGTCTGGAGACAAGCTCTGTTGGAAACTTCTGTGTTAAACCCAGATAAATAGGTTTCTGACCTGCAGGACTTCTCAGAGCCTTTATTATAATGGATACTCTGTGGCTCCAGTGAGGATGGAGAGAGCTGGAATCACAGACTATATTTTCTAACTTTTATTTACCCTAGATCCTTCTTTTCACCAGACAACTTAAAGGAGCCTTTGTTCTGTGGAACCTTCTGGGTAATGCTGTTCTAGGCTCATCCCATACTCTATGAGGCTAGGGACCTGCTGGTATCTTTGTCCCACAACTACCAAGGCCACTCACTGTCCCTGGTACCCCTTCCTACAAAAGCGCCTGCGTCTCCTTCCTCTTTTTTTCTCCCCCCTCCCCACCTCTGGCCACCCTCTGTCGCACACCTCGGGGACTGGAGACCGAGATGCCAAGGAAGGGGCCCAGGAGAACGAGCTTTCCAAACCCAAACCCTGCCCCCTGGCTGGCCACCTCCCCGGAAGGCCAGGCCCCCAGAGTTCAGCAGCTGGCCTCCCACCCTCCTCGCCTCCACCGCGTCCACTCACCGCCTCGGATTTGGGAGGCACGGGAGGCGGCGCCGCCTCGGGCTCCAGGCGGGGCGGCCCGACGGCTCCGAAGGAGATAAGATCGGGCCCCGGGAGCGGCCGGGTCCTGCTCTCGGCTAGGCCCTCGGCCGCCTGGTGCGTCCACAGCTCCTCGTAGGGAATCTCGGCGGGCGGCGCAGCGGGCTCAGGCCCGCCGGCCCAGTCGGGGATCACGTACTCCTGGTCGCCGTCGCCGGGTGGGCCGGGTGGGCCGGGGCCGGGGGCGCGGGCGGGCACGAGGGTGCGCGGGGGTGCGGGCAGGCAGAGGCGCGCGCGGCGCGGGCTGGCGCAGTCGTCGGCCAGCTCGGCGGGAGCCTCGCGCACTGCGGTCGAGTACTCGTCGGGGTCGAAGCGCTCGCGACAGTAGGAGGCGCTGTCGCGCACCAGGCGCTCCACGCGCGGGTCCCCGGCCAGGAGGCCCTGCGGCAATGCGAAGCGCGGCGTGTTGGTGAGCAGCAGGAAGTGCAGCGGGGCCGGGCCCTCGCGGCGCAGCGCCAGCCCCAGCACCACTGTCTTGGAGATGATGCTGACCAGCTTGTAGCAGTGGCCCTCCCGTACCGGGTGCAGGTCATAGGGATTGCGGGGTGGCCGGCTGGGCACCAGCACGTTCACCGGGAGCCGCACGCGCTCGATAATGGCGCGCACCGTGTGCTCGCCCTCCTGCATCTGCAGCTCCAACGGGCTGCGCGTGCTGAAGCGGCCCTGGCACTGGAAGGGCAGGCTCAGGCTCTCGTTGGTGCGGTGGTTCATGCAGATGAGGCAGGGCATCTTGCCTTTGATGGGCCTGGCACCCCCGCCGCCACCCGCGGCCCCAGCGCCCCCCGGGCCGCCGCCGCCCACCCCGGCCAGCGCCCCAGCCCGGCCCAACTTGCGCAGCAGGGTTGTGAAGCGGGAGCGCTCCTTGGTGGTCTTGGCGCACAGGATCTCCGCCTGGCCCATGAGAGTGAGCTCATCGCCCGCATGCAGCGTGAAGTTGTACACCTCGCTGTCCTCGCTGAACTCCCCTGACACCACCTGGGGGTCCCAGAAACAGAGGGAGGCCTTAGCCTCAGCCTAGGGAAAGCCAGTCCCGGGACCCAGGAGGGCAACCCTCCTCTTGGGGCTTTCCCAAGATCAAGAGCACTGGACATGCATTCTGTAGAAGCCACATGGTCACGGTGGTGCAGCCTGAGTTACCTCTTGGAAACATAATTATTTTATTTGCTATAAGAATTGCTGTAAGGATTAAATAGACTATAAAGTAAGTGTTAATCGCTCAGCCATGCCTGACTCTTTGTGACTCCATGAACTGTAGCCTGCCAGGCTCCTCTGTCCATGGGATTTCCCAGGCAAGAATACTGGAGTGGGTTGCCATTTTCTTCAGGGATCGAACTGGGTCTCCCACATTGCAGGCAGATTCATTACCATCTGAGCCACCAGGAAAGCCTTAAATAGACTCTATGTATACTGAAATACTTTGAAATTATTCAATATACAGCAACGCTTGTATCATTTTTTTACAATTGGGCAATATAATCACCTATTTAACAAGAATTGATGAATAAGAAAAGGGTTTGTAAATAGTAAAGAGCTATCTGTACATTAAATGGGGGGCTGTTTGCACTCTATGTCTCCACAGCCACCACCCCCACCAGTAGATGCTAGGATGGCTGCCCTGAAAGATCGCCAAGTCAAGGTACGAACCTCCACACACATACCTCCACACACACTTCCTGCTTCCCCACCTTTTGCAGGAAGTTCTTGGGCCCAGTTCCAGGAAGTTCATACACCTAGCCAAAGGCTTTCAGGGGGCTGCCAGAAGCCACACTGTGACACTTCTACCTCTCAGAACCTAACGGGAACCCTCCAACCAGGGTCAGGCTTGCCCCTGAGGATAATGGAACCTGGGGGCACCATGTCCAGTGCAGAAAGGACTGACCTTGACACTGAAGGTGATGGCTTCCATCACAAAGATGCGATCAGGAAAGACGCTGGCCACCTCCTCCACGCTGCTGAAGTACCTCACTGGCTCCCGAACATCCCGGGCCTGCTCCAGGAGCTTGAACTTCCCTGCACAGGAGGGAACGCAGGCTGCTAGGGTGGGCCTACTTGCTGGGAAGCCTAGCCTGCATCCTGAGAGGCCTCCTGGTCCCCACATCTTTCACCCCTCGTGTCAGCCAGTCCTTCTGGAACTCAGGTGGGCAGAAGGGCAGGTTTGCACTAGTGGAAGCTGGTCAGCTGGTTCAAGACTCAGCAGGGAGGTGAGCACAGATTCCTAGCAAATAGAGCACAACCCTTACCCAGTGGAGAGTTAGTGGGTGTGTGACAAGGCCAGCAGGTGTCTGCCTAGAGAAACCCAAGGGCAAACTGGTACCCAAACACTTGAACACCAACATTAGTGTGGCACTGGGGATGCTAATGCCTAGTTTGGTCCCAGCCCCACTCTGATTTGCTATGACCCAGACAAATCCCTTCCCCTCTCGGGGGTTTTGAATCCTCATCTGAAGAAACTGGAGCAGATGTTCGCCGGCCCTGTCTGAATCTGGCCTCCTGTGTTAGCTTTAGATTGCTAACCCACACTGAAGCAATGGGCAAACCAGGGCCAAGCCCCAGGCTTTGGAGACCCAAGGAGAGCCACTCTGACTCCTGGTCTGTTCCCAAAGCCTGCTGTGGTCCAACATCCAGCCCCACTATCCCAGAGGCCTCAGATCTGAGCCCAGCACGTTGCCTCCCTCAGATGAGGTCTTCCCGACCTGCAGTCCAAGGCTGTGTTTCCACTGGCTCAGGAGACGCCCTCAAAAGACACAGGCTTTAAAGAATGATGCTAATCTGTAACGCTGACACCCCTTTGTGTTAACTCTCTGACCTCACTGGCCGCATACCATTTATGTGCCCACCTTGTTGTTGTTGTTTAGTTGCTAAGTCGTCCCCACCTCTTTTGCAGCCCCATGGACTGTAGCCCACCAGGCTCCTCTGTCCATGGGATTTCCCAGGCAAGAATACTGGAGTGGGTGGCCACGCCCTCCTCCAGGGGATCTGCCTGACTCAGGGATGGAATCCGTGTTTCCTGCATTAGCAAGCAGATTTTTTACCACCTAGTCACCTGGGAAGCCCCATGTGCCCACTTACATGAGCACAAAGACAGGCTGTGAACCAGGCTGGCATCTGGCCTCTTTTTAGGCCTTACACTGGAGGAAGAGAGTCTTGTATAGGCTGAGAGAAGACAAGGTAACTCTAACTTCTGCAGTGATTCTAGTGGTTGCTGCCTATTACATTCATTTATTCATTCCACAAGCATTTATAGAGCACCTTCTGTGTGCCAGACACTAGCCTAGACCCAATGAGGGGGGCAGATCTGGGTAAGATATGATCTGCCCTCAAGATATCAAATCCAGATAAAGTGTGTGATAGCAGGGTATGACGGGAAGGCAGGATGGCTACAACAGACTCAACAAAAGACGAGGCGACCACCAAGTTGGGGGAAATCTGCCTGGCAGTGTAGGGGGATCATAAGAATGAATTTTACAGAGTGAACATTCCACACAGAAGAAACGGCATGAGTCAAGACACATGGTCACAGAAGCAAACTGTCTGCCCAACATGGTGAGTGTGCCTGGAGAGTAGGATTTGAGGGGGGTGATGACAGGGTGAAGCAGATAGTGACTGGTCTATGAAAAGCTCTGAATGCCATATGGTAGGACTTTATTCCATAAGAATGAGACCCACTGGTGTGTTCTGAGCAAAGAAAGACCAGGATCAAAGGTGAACTCTATAAAGATAACAGGTACACTTAGGTAAATAACCCAGTAATGAGTTCTGGAAAAAAGCAGGGGCATCAGCTGAGGGGAGAGCAAAAAACAAACAAAACAAGGGGTACAGGTTCCAGTAGGAAGCCTCATCAGACTGCGGTGATTGCCGAGTGGTGAGGGAGGAAGGGGTTCCAGCTACCAGCCTGGTCAGAAATGGAGACAGCAAAGCTGTTAACCAAAACTGGGACCCTGGAAGGAACCAGTTGGGGAGTGAAAGAGTCAATTCCTACACAGGTTGGTAAGAAATCCGGGGGTGGGGATCTCAAGGAGGAGAAAAGGATAAACTTTTTTTTTTTCCTCTACATTCCTTAGTCACATAAAACGTTTTTTCCTTTAAGCCCGGAACTGATGATTACACAACAACTCAGTTTAAACTCTGTACTAAGGATTATATGACAACAATATATCCTGCTGAGGACAGTTTCTCCTTCCTGAAAAACCTTCTGGCTAATCCTGTTATCTTAAAATGTACATTATGGGAGTGGGTCTAGTAAGATCTTTACAACCTTGAGCCATGCTTTTATTATAATGACTAATTTTAAAAAGTACATAACTCCCTTGCTAACACTAGCGAGGGGGGTCCTCTCCGTCCCCCTTCTGATGTCTATGTCAGAAGCTTTCTCTGTCCTACTTCAATAAAACTCTGCTACACAAAAGCTCTTGAGTGATCAAGCCTGGTCCCTAGTCCCAGAGCTAAATCTTCTTCAGAAAGCACGAACCCGACACTGCACACGGTAAGCTATCAGGAGCATGGGCCAAACTGGGGAGGCCAAATGAGGCCCTGCAAGGGGTGCTCCTCGGGCAGGCAGGTAAGCGTGTGGGCGCAGGGCTTGGGGACATGTAGTCAGAAGTAACAGAAGATCAGCGGCCCACAGCAAGCAGTGTCAGCTGTGGGGCAGGCCAGATAGCTCAGGGACGAGGAAGAAAAGAGGATCCCGATCCATCGGGGACCCCCTTCCCAGAGAAATCCCACAGTATACTCCTAGCAGGAACACACACAGCATTGTATATACAGCAGGGGGGATGTGGTGGTTTCAAAGCCCAGCCAAAACCAAGATGGAGACACCCACGTCCTAATGCAGGGGTGCAGAGCAGAGGGCCCAGGGCAGCGCCTGCAGCATCAACATCTAAGAGCAGGAGAAGGGAGAACCGAGAGGGGGAAATGCCCAGAGAAACCCAGAGGGAATGCACCCCATCCCTACCCCGCACCCTGCCCCAACCACTCTGAGACCCTGGTGGGAAGAGGCCTCAGATGAGCCACAGCACTCCAGGGCAGCAAGGATACCCTGGGGAGGGGACCCAGCGGGTGAGGAATCACAGGTCTGCCACCATCTAAGAATGGCACCACCCCTTCCCTCATCCAGTCGCCGCCCCCATATCCACACACAACCCCCATCACCCCCACCACCACCACCAATTCCAAGCAGCCAGGCAGGGAGAAATGCCCACTGCCCCCTGTGGGGAGAGTTGGAGCCAAGTCAGGGCTAGAGCTGGGGGAGGATGTGGCAGGGAAGATCGATGTAACCATGGTAGCCAGCACCACCCCCTCCGCCGCAGCCTGAGCCCAGCACCGGTCATCACTGCCGGGAGGAAGGAAAGAAGACCTCTGGGGAGTGATGCTTTGGCCCCGGGAAGCCTTCTCCTCCCTCTGCAGCCCCACTGGGGGCAGCTTCCTCTCCTGCCTTCCCCCTACGAGAGACACGAGGTCTTCTCCCTCGACCCCCGCGGCTCTAGGGAAGTGCCCCACCCTGGCCTGCCCCTCCTCCCTGCCCGAGACTCCCAAAGCACCTGACCCAGAGCAGATGCTCCTTAAAGAATAGTGGGTAAATGCACAGACTTGAGAGTCGGACAGACCTGGTGCCACCTGCCACCTGTATGGTCTAGCGCAAATTATTTAATCCCTACAGGCTTCGGTTTTCCCATCGGTAAAATGGAAGCCTACAACTTGGCTCACGCGGTGATCCGCAGGGTCCGCCGCCGGAGCAGGGAGCAAGGTGGGGAGTTGCTGGGGGAGTGACCCTGGAGAAGGACGGTCTCCCTGCCTCCCACGGCGGTGAACCTTGGCCTGGACCCCACCCCACCCCGCCCACCGCGGCGGCTCCCGCCGAGGTCCGCAGCCTCCGCCCCCGCCCGCGCGCCAGCCCGCGCTATTACTAATTCATTAGGAGGAACCAGCGTCGGGCTGTGCACTCAGAGCTTCCTCGTTAACCTGCCGGCGACCCCTCCCCCTCCTAGGGGGCTTCGGCCTCCCTACCCACCCCCAACCAGGCGGGGTGCGAGCAGCCCAATGTAAAGATGGGTCAAGGATGCGAAACCTCGGCTAGCCAGCTGTCACCCCATGATCACCGCCATACACAGTCAAGGGGCCACCAAAAGCGATGGGGGGAAACAGCCAGGAGCCCCGTGGACCCACAGTTCCCTAGGAGGCTCTGGATCTCTGTTTCCCTGATTTGTTTTGTTTTTTTTTTTTGGCAGCGGGACCTTATTCCCGGACCAGGGATGGAACCCGCGCCCCCTGCAGTGGAAGGGCAGAGTCTTAACCACTGGAGCACCAGGGAAGGCCCCCAGTCTTTGCTTTTTTGTCCCAATGAGATGACCTGGGACTTTTCCCTGGACCAATGCCAAATACCCAGGCTGGGAAGTTTCTAGCTTGGGCAGGCCTTCCCAGGGTCCCGAGGACAGAACCCCAGGTCAAAAAGATACTTGAGTTTCCTCATCTTCAAAATGGGGTGTGGGGACTAGAGGAATACAAGTTCACAGGGTGCTGTAAAAAGCAGAAGCCCTGTAAAGGGTTTGGTCCTGTCCCACTGACTCAGGGGAGAACCAGGCAGGGCCAGAGGGGGAACAGCAGACCTGTGAGGAAGGGGCTGGGAGCCTTCCCAACCCCAAGGATTCCAACCTTTGTTGCAGGGTGAAAGGAAAAATCGCTCAGTCTCTTTGCAACCCCATGGTATGTAGCCCGCCAGGCTCTTCTGTCCATGGAATTCTCCAGGCAACAATACTGGAGTAAGTTGCCATTCCCTTCTCCAGGGGATCTTCCCAACCCAGGGATCGAAACCAGGTCTCCCACATTGCAGGCGGATTCTTCACTATCTGAGCCACCAAGGAAGCCCTGTTTGGGGGTGGGCAGCAGTTAAACACAGAACTGATCTAACTCCTAACTCCTGGATCTCTGAGACTTCCTCACAGGGTTGCTGTGAGGCTGTGATGGTGGCAAAGCTCTGCCCAGTGTCTGTAAAACAGCACATGTTGATACACAGGAGCTGTGGGCTCCTGGGCTTAAATAGGGGCATCTCTGGGCTGATGGCCACCAGTCTTGCACCCTTTGCATTCAGGGGACAACAGCCCTGCATCCCTGATGTGGCAGCAAGCACCAGCCCAAGAATCGAGATGCCTGGGTGCTAGCCCTTGCTCTTCTGCTTACTAGCTGTGTGACCCTGGGCAGGTCGTTTCCCTTCCTAGGCCTTCTGTTCCATCCTGTGTAAAATCAAAGGACTTCTTTTTTTAGAAGCAGAATCCTTTCTTTAAACAAAATCTTTAGGACATCAGCATCACATATAAAATAGATAAAAGTAAATATTCATTGTTGTTTAGTCGCTAAGTTGTGTCCAACTCTGTGCACCCCTCTGGACTGCAGCCCCCCAAGCTCCTCTGTCCATGGGATTTCCCAGGCAAGAATACTGGAGTGGGTTGCCATTTCCTTCTCCAGGGGATCTTCCTGACCCAGGGACCGAACTCAGGTCTCCAAGGTCTCCTGCACTGGCAGTCGGGTTCTTTACCACTGAGCCACCATGGAAGCCCTGGTCTCTAGCATAATTTTATTAAAAGTTTTTAAATTTTAACATCCACTTAAGAGTCAATCAATGGGGACTTCCCTGGTGGCACAGCGGTTAAGACTTCGCCTTCCAATGCAGGGGGTATGGGTTCAATCCCTGGTGGGGAACTTAGATCTCACATGCCTTGGTGCCAAAAAATCAAAACATGAAACAGAAGCAATATTGTAACAAATTCAATAAAGACTTAAAAAAAAAGTCAATCAATGAAAACAATAAATTTAACACAAACATCAGAAAAACAGGATTAAGGCTAGCAGATGCAGCCATATAATCACCCTGGGCATCCCCTTGTTTCTATGTCTTTGGGTTGCGCAATACTGAGAGAATCCTGGCAGGAGATATTTTCTTTGAGGGTCTGTACAAAAAGAGTTAATGAGGCAGACTGTGGTACACACCAAACGTCTCTACTCAGGATTTAGGGTTTGACTTGTAGTGATATGAAGGTGTGGATTTTTTTTAACCATTAGTTTCAAATCTACTTTAAAATGGGAATCAAAGGTTTGAAACCAGAAACCCGGGGCTTGACAGAACAGTATGAAAACCAGTGGACCCTAACTCTAACCCTAACCTTAATCACCACTGCCCCCCCTCCCCCAACCGGCTCATCAGCCATGACCTCGCTCATCCCTGCAGCTCTAAGGAAAAGCCAGTCACCAACATCCAGTTCCCAAGACTTCCTGCACCCCATCCCCCTGCCTACATCCCCCACTGGCTCTGTGCCATCCGTCCCTGGCTGGGCACACCTGGGTACTGCAGGGGGATGTCAATCTTGGGCCCGATGACGTAGTGGCCCTCCTCCAGGGTGTGGGCTGTCACCGTGGTCCACTGGCGGCAGGAATGAATGAGCAGGATGTCTCGCTCACTGACGCCCTCGGCATACTCCCCTGGGAGGGGGCAGGAGAACAGAGGAGGGAGGACAGAAAAGAGAACATTAGGAGGGGCAGAGAGAACAGACAGGGTGACCTCCTCACCGAGACACCGCCCAAGGACAGCTCCCCATGATCCTTGTCCAGGCCAGCAATGCTCCAGGGACAGGGGGCTGCCAGCTGTGACCTCAGGGCTGAATCAGGCCCCGTCTCTCAGGGCTCAGGCTTCCAATGGGGCCCCAGCAACCAATCCAGCCTCCATCCTGCATTTATCATTCTACTGGACTGCCTGCTGTCCCAGGCCGTGTGCTGGAGCCAGGGGCTCCCAGCGGACGAGCCAGCCCCTGCCCTCCAGGAGCCCTCAGGTCCAGGGGGAGGGAGGTGGGGAGAGATGTGAACAGAGGATACGGGCCCAGTATGAGGCACTGAATGGAGGCAGTCTGAGCTCTCGCAGAAGGGGCAGCAAACTAGCTGAGGCGGGAGAGGGGCAGCAGGGAGGATGGGAGACAGTGCTGAGCAGCAGACACTTGGGCTGGACCTCAGAACCACAACTCACACCAGCAGAATTCTCAGCCCCAAGTCAGCTCCTGGGCCAGGAAAGGAGGGCCTTGTTGGGGGCCCAGAGAGGGCTGAGAAGGGGTCGTCCATTGTGGAGCCCAGAGCTGTGGGTCACTCGGGTCAGGAGAATAGCGGGGCTTAGAGGAGCTGATTCACGGCTCCCTTGGGCAGCCCCTTCCTTCTCGCCCACTGCCACAGACAGGCTTCTTCATCCAAGGGACCCCAAAAGAGAGGGAACCTTTGGGGTCTCAGATAGCCCTGGCCCCACCTCAGAGAAGCTGCTTTTGGCATTCCCTCCCAGAGACCTTCACCTCCCAGTTTGTGGGACACAGTGATGAAGGCCAGAGGAGGCGGGCGGGGGCGGGGGGGGGGGCGGATTTAGAAGGGGAGGGGGATAGTCCTGGGGGAAGCTGCACTGGGGCAAAGGTGTTGGGAGGGGCCCGGGCCCCAGAGGCTCCAATCCCAGCAACAGTTTCCAGGAGAGCAGGAGGCTGGCCCAGCTTCCAGGAGGCCTTGGAGCCGTCTCCTGGATGCAGCTGGTGGGTAGAGTGGGGGTGGGGGACGCTCCCTCCAACACAACTTAATAAATTTCTGCCACCCAACCAAATGGGAAATGGTTTACTCTGATGGCTGGGGACTCCCTGAAGTGTGTGCATTTGATGGGGGGAGGGGAAGGGGTGTTCAGGACCTGCAAGGAGGGCCTGGCTCTCATCACGTGTATGTGTATATGTGGTTGGGGGTGTGGGGCTTTCTCCTCAACTCCTCACCTGGGGCAGAGAAAGCTCTCCTATTCCGAAACCTCCTCTTAGAGCTCTCTTAAGCCCCAGCCTGCCCTTCCAAGGGATGCAGGCCACAGCCACACAGGATACACACCAACCATGGATCAAGGTCACCAACAGTGGAGTCAACACAGCCACCTAGATCACAGCGATAGGGGCTTGTCACCCCTATGACGCAACTCCGTCTCACGGTCCCACTAATCCAAGGGCCAAGACATACTTTTGATCACATATTCACAGCTCACAATTTTGATAACAAAAGGTGACCACAGCTATAGCCACCACTGTCACAGACTGACGGCTGGGCCATTATACCAGTTGCTCATGCCTTCATTCATTCATTCAGTCCTTCCATAATCTTTGTTAGGCAGGATGCCCTACCTCAAGGAGCCTGCAGCCCAGCAGGAGGACAATAAACTGACCATTATAACGGGTGCACAACAGGAGACAAGACAAGGGGGCCAGAGGTCAAGGGAGCCCAAAGGAGGCCTGCCTGTCCTCAAAAAAAGACCCCCAGGAGGGGGAGATGCCAAAGCGGATGTGTGGGAAAGTGGCCAGCCACGACCTAGGATCAGCATATTCCATTCACACGCAGACACACACACAGCTCTGCTGTTGACATCAGCATCACACGCTGATGATGGGCGAGAACAAGACACTGGACCGCCAGGCACCCCTGCCCGACGGCCCCGGCATCGATCCTTCAGGGAGCCCGCTCCTGGACAGGCTGACACTCGCTGTGCCCACTCCCGGCCGCGGCAGGTCGGAGGAGGGGCTCCCGGCCCCCGCGGAGAGGAGACAAGCCTGAAGCCGCGGGCCGCATTAGCATTCAGGGAAGCGAGTGTGCCAACGCGGGCCAAACCCCTATTCTTCTCATACACAAAACCCCCGGCCTGGCTGCCAGCCCCGGCTCCCGCCCCTCCCCCAGCCAAGCGGCCCCCTTTTCTGAAACGGTCCCCTTGCTCTGGGCAGCCTCCGGGCACCCCTCTCGGGCCCCCAAGCATCAGCAGAGCAACCTGGGCCCCCGGGACCCCAAGGAGAAGTGGAGCAAGATGTGGGAAGGGCCGGGGGTCGGGGGTGGGGGGCTTGGGGACGCGCCGGGAGGGAAGACGCCCTCCTTCAGGCCCAGAGGTGGCCTGCCGGTCCGCGGGGAGCGGAGGCTGCCCACCACCCCCAGGCCGCGAAAGGAGGGTGCAAGAAGAGTCCCAAGACGTGCGGTGAGGGTGGGGGGCGGCGGCAGAGTGAAGACAAGAGTCCGAGGCCCAGGGATGCGGGAGAATCGAGGTGAGAGGCCAGAGACAAAGAGATGGAGGGGGGCGCGGCCCGGACGGGGGTTCGGGGGCGGCGAGAAAAGGGGGTGCACCGACGGGACGGGCTGGGTGGCTCCGCCAGGCTCCGGGGTCCATCTGGGCCGGAGAGCTCTCTCCGGGGCCCGGCTCCAGTCCCTGTCCCAGGTTTCTGTCCCTGTGCCCGTCCGCGGGGCCCCGGAGGAGGCATCCCCTCGGTTTCCGGACCCCGGGTCTCCGGGGAGGCGCTCCGGGAACAGAGCGAGGTCCGCGCGGAGGAGCAGGAGGGCAGGAGCCGCATCCTCACGGCCCCGCTGGCACCTGCCGGGAGAGCCCCCTGCGGGCCCCTCTCCCCAGCACCCCCGATACCTGGCCCAAGGCAGGCGAGCGTGGGCAAGCGGCAGCGGCTGACGATGAGGTCCAGCGGGAAGGCGCCCATGCTCCAGCGCAGGCCGGCCAGCCCGGCCGCCAGCTTCTCCATGGCATGGGAGCCCCGGGGCCGCCGTCCCGGGGCCCCGACGACCAGTCCCGCGCGGCCCGGGCTCCCGTGCCCGCCGCCACCTCCTGGGGCCGCCGCGGCGCTCCCCGCCTGGCCGCCCGGCCCGGGGCTGCGGGCGTCACGTGGCCGGCCTCCCCGCGGGGCGCCGGCCCCCGCCACCCGCCCCTCGCCCCACCCCCCGGCCTCCAGGTCCCGCCTCCCCTCCCGCCCGGTTCCCTCGCCCCCTCCCCGAGCGTTCAGGTGACAGCCGGGGACCGGCGACCCCAGGCGGGCGCCTGGAGGGTAATCGAGGACGCGAAGCGGCATCTGCGGGGCCGGCCTCCCCTTCCCCGTCCAGTGTGTTGGGATCCCCGCTTCCCCGCCTCGAGCAGAGCCAGTCCGCGCCCATTGGTGCCCCCCCCCCCCCCCCCCCGGCTTCCGGGAATCTCCTCTCGTCCCGCTCCGGGTCCTGGCTTCCTAAAGCTTCTGCCCATAGTTCAGCCGCTGCGATACCAGACTGGTAACACCTCCATGGTGGTTGCTGCCTCCAGCACTATCACCTCCAGATTCACACATCCTGGCAAGGCCGCCTTATAAACCCCATTTTACTGATGAGCAAACTGAGACTCAGAGAGGTCAAGTGGCAGCTCGCTTTGAAGCCAGGTTTGACTACAAGCGGCTTCCCTGATAACTCAGTTGGTAAAGAATCCACCTGCAATGCAGGAGACCCTGGTTCGATTCCTGGGTGAGGAAGATCCACTGGCGAAGGGATAGGCTACCCACTCCAGGTGGGTATGTACCCCAAGCTCCATTTTTGGGCTTCCCTTGTGACTCAGCTGGTAAAGAATCCACCTGCAATGCAGGAGACCTGGGTTTGATCCCTGAGTTGGGAAGATCCTCTGGAGAAGGAAAAGGCTACCCACTCCAGTATTCTGGCCTGGAGAATTCCATGAACTGTACAGTCTATGGGGTCACAAAGAGTCGGACACGACTGATCACCTTTCACTTTCACTTGACTACAGTCCCACTGCCTTCCCAGGTAGTCACCGAAGCCTAATACCACCCCTCTGCCCTCACCAAAGAGCACTGTCCAAGTTTCCAGCCCTTCCTCACCAATTGTCACCTGTCCTGCGAGCCAGATGGCTCCAGCATAGACACAGGCTGGTGCTGAAAGGGCTCCTTGGACGCTAGTCCTCAGCCTGGGTACCCCTCCTCCGCAACACATACACACAAACCTTCTCTTTGGAGATGACTGACGTCCCACATATGGTGACCTGAACCCCAAGAGAGATGGCACCAGATAAGATGGACACAACTTCTCAGCCGGAAGGGACATTTCACACCACTGTTCAATCTCCATCTTTTGCAGAGGAAAGAAACGGGAGACGCCAAGAACAGAAATGCTTTGGTCCTAAGGTCACAGAGCAGGAAAGAAACAGAGCTCTGACTGGAAGATAGTTTGTCATCCAAACTGGGACACTTTTGAAAGTGAAGGAAGTGCTAACAGGGACAATAGGCATAAACCAGGATTGCAAGTGTAAAGTAGGGTCGGACCATAGGGTCACCCTATCCCTGAGAGAGGCCTCTGAGCCCTGATGTAGATGCCACACAACAGCATTGCTGGTTCACTTCAGCTCTAAACCTCAGTCTCCAGCTAAGTCCTGCTACCCACCACAGTCATTCACAGACATTCCATTTCAACAATCACACTTGAATTTGGTCCTCTTTATTTCTCTCCTAACCATCTCCTTTCACCTGGTTCCCCCCACCTGGAGCTCTTCTTAATCCTTATGTCCAACTGGTCACCAAGTCCTGGCAATTCTGCTTCTGCCATTCATCGTATGGCCCTTCCTCCTCTTCGACTCTGCCATTGCAGCCTGTCTTCAGTTCCTCCTCTGATCTTCTTTCTTCCAGGCTACCCTTTGTATTTCATACCGAAGTCACTCTGGATTTGGGCTGAGTCAGAGACCACACAGGTGTGAGACATCAAGCAGAGCTACCTAACTGGGTTGCCCACCCTCTAACTGTTGTAGAATGTTCCAGAACCTTTCTAGTGCTTTTTAACCATTGGCAGATCTCCAGGGACCTCAATGTGCCCAAACATATACATCCCTTCATTTGTTTAGGGCTCAAGAGTCATGTAGGAAGGAACTCAGCTTCTCGCAGATCTGTCCCTGGGCTGTGTGCTGGAAGGCAGCTGGCAGCACGGAGAGCAGGGAAGCACCCGGAGGGAGGAGGATACTCACAGAGAGGCCAGAGGGGGCGTGAGTCTGGAAGTGAGAGCCAGGGGCCTGGATGATGTGTGAGGCTGTGCCTGAGTTTCACCCTCTGGGAGAGTCTGTGTGGGGGACAGAGAGGTCTGAGTGGAGGAGGCAAGAGCTGGTTCACTGGGGTCCCAGCTGCCCTGCTATGGGTTCCCCCTCCGACAGGGTGGGTGGTGACAAGTAGAAAGGAGGACATAGCAGAGGTCAGGGATTTGGAGGAGGAGGCCGGGAAGGGGGGCTGGCCCTGGCAGAGGCCCACTATTGGCCCAGAGGCCAGGCTGTGGCAGAGGCTGGCCAAGCTGCCCGTGAGTGGGCAGAGTGGTCAGTGGAGTAGAAAGATGGTGAAAGTGGGCGGCAGCAGCTTGGGTTGTGTGTAAAACAACTCCACTCCACCCCACCTAAAAGGACTGATGAACTTCTCTGAGCCCATGAACTCCAAAAGGTCAGAGAACATCTGGCTAAGCACATCTGAAAAGTCTAGGAAATGGCGTATCCAATTTTTCTTTCAGAATTTTTTTTTTCAAGATTTTTTTGATGGGCACCATTTTTAAATCCTTTATTGAATTTGTTACAATAGTGCTTCTGTTTTAGGTTTTGGTTTTTTGGTTGCACAGCATGTAGGATCTTAGTTCCCCCCATCAGGGATCAAAATTGCACCCCCTGCCTTGGAAGGCGACGTCTTAACTGCCAGGGAAGTCCCCAGAAAATTTTAACTGTAAACTAGAGATAATAATATTATGAGTACCCCCCAGTACTCCTCTCCTGGCTTCAACATTTACCAGTCCATGGTTGATCTTATTTATTTCTCCTCCTAGTAGAATTTTTTTAAAATAACTTTATTGAGACATAATTCACATACTATACAATTCATCCATTTAAAGTGTACAATTTCAGTGTTTTAGTATAGTCACCATACTGTGCCACCATCACCACGATCTAATTTTCAAACATATCATCCTTCCCTAAAAGACATTGCTAACCATTAGCAGTCTGTCCCTTTCCCCAGCCCTCCCCCATCTGTAAACAATTGCCAGTCTACGTCCTGGCTCTATAAATTTGTTGTTTCTCTACATTTTCATACAAATGGAATAATAAAATGTGTGGTCTAATATGACTGGCTTCTTTCACTTAGCATTAAGTTTCAAGGTTCCCCCACATTGCAGCACATTTCAGTACTTCATTACTTTTATTGCTGAATAATATTCCAGTGTATGGATAACCACATTTTATTTATTCATTCATAAGTTGATGGATATTTGGGTTGTTTCCACTTTTTTGGCATCATGAATAACTCCGCTATGATCATTTGTGTACACACATATGTGTGGACATATGTGTTCACTTCTCTACCTTGTGGTGGAATTGCTGAGTCGTATGGCAACTATATGTTTATTTTTATTTTTTTGGCCATGTCGAGCGAAACGTGGGATCTTAGTTCGCTGACCAGGAATCAAACTTGTGCTTCCTGCATGGGAGCACGGAGTCTTGACCACTGGGTTGCCAGGGAAGTCCACTCTGTGTTTAACATTTTGAGGAATTGCCAAGCTGTTTTCCAAAGTGATGTACTGTTTAACATTCCCACCAGCAATATACGACAGTTTCAATTTCTCTGCACTCTTGCAGATGTGTATTGTGTATTGGATACACTAGATGTGTATCCATTCTAGTGGATTTGAAGTGGTATTTCATTGTAGTTTTGATTTATTAATATATTTTCCTTAATGACTAATAGTGCTGGGTATTTTTCCATGTGCTTATTGGGTATTTGTATACTTTCTTTGGAGAAATGAAGATTCAAATTCTTTGCCTATATTAAATGTCTTTTTATTGTTGAGTTGCAAATATTCTTTTTATGTTCTAGATATAAGTCCTTTATCAGAGATATGATTTGCAAATCTTTTCTCCCATTTGGTGGGTTGTCTTTTCACCTGATGAGCTTTTGGCAGCCCACAAGTTTTTGCTTTTGATGGAGTCCAGTTTATCCATTTTGTTCTTTTGTTGCTTGTGCTTTTGGCATCATATCTAAGAAATCATTGTCTAACTTAAGGCTACAGAGATTTACTCCTCTGTTTTCTTCTACTAATTTTTATAGTTTTAGCTCTTACATTTAGGTCTTAGTTTCGTGATCTATTTTGGGTAAATTCTTGTGTATGGTATGAGGTAGGAATCCAGGTTCATTCTTTTGCATGTGGATATCCAGTTGTCCCCCCACTGTTTGATGAAAAGGCTATTCTTTCTCCCATTTAATTGTCTTGGCACCCTTATCAAAGATCAGTTGAACATAAATATCCTCTTAGAAGTTTGAAAAGATCTTGGATGTCTTATCACTTCATCTATGTAAATATTTCAATATGTATCTCTAAAGATAGGAACTTTTTTCACAAAATTTAACTGCAACTAATAAACTAACAATGTTTACTAATAAACTAACAAAATTTAACTGCAACTAGTAAACTAACAATATTTTCCTAGTATCATAAAATATTTAGTTGGTGTTCATATTTTCCCAACTGTCTGGCTGGAGAATTTATTTACAATTTATTTAAATCAAGTTTCAATAAGATCCACGCATATTTTTCTTGCAATTTATTTATAGGAGAAATAGGACTATATGTCCTGTAGTTTTCTTATAGTCTAGATTTTGTTGATTCAGTCCTATAGGATAGTTTTATATGTTGCTTTATCTTCTAATTTTCTCTAAATTGGTAGTAGATTGTCAGTAGTAAATCAAGTACAGAT